CGGTATGTTCAGCATCTGTACCCGAACAAGATTCCACCAGTAACAAGACTATCCATAGTTTGAGAAAAAATGGCAATGATTGTCCAATGGAGACAATCCATGTTGGCGTTTTTCTTACCATTCTTATTTAGATAATCAGTTAGTTTGAAACTTTCTAAGAGGGTACTCTAAAGAAGAGCTGGGGTGAAATGAATTGGTTGAACTTGTTATGAATACATATATTAGTCCTAATACATAACAAATAACAGTCGTATAAACCTAATATTATGGGTCAAGTGGCTTTAACCACTTTTGTAATGTTCATATTTCTCTCTCCAAAGACAACAGTTCGAGTCGGTTTCATAATTAAAATATTTAAAAAAAATAACATAATCATATAGATTTATTTTGACTCTAATATTATATTGATTTAAAATTAAATGTTTGATGTAAATATATAAAAATAATTTGAGATATTTTAATGTATTTATTAATTAATTTCAAAGATTTAAAGAGATACATTGCATCTATTGATTTAAGATTTGAATCGCTGAAACTTAACTAATCTAACATATAAGAAGGATAATTCAGTTATGCCACCTCATTAAGGTCTAAGTTGCGGTAGCATTATTTCTCAATATTGGTGAAGCTTGGGGTGGTCGATGTACTGTTAAAAGGGTGTGTTGACAGTTGACAGATGGTACACCTGACAGTTGATAGATTGTGGGTAAAAGGTAATTGAGAAGAAGCAGCGCAATTTGGGAGCAGAAATTAATTAGGATCAAATCATAATAAATATATAGCTGCGGATATGACCAACTGGCTAGACTTGTGATCCATGGCCCTTGACTAACGCAATTTCGGAGCAGAAATTAATTAGGATCAAATCATCATAAATGTACAGCTGCGGATATGACCAACTGGCTAGACTTGTGACCAATGGCCCTTGCCTAACGCAATTTGGAAGCAGAAATTAATTAGGATCAAATCATCATAAATGTATAGCTGCGGAGATGACCAACTGGCTAGACTTGTGATCCATGGCCCTTGTGCATGACAGAGATCTCTGAGTGTTCGTGGATTTGGTTATTTTTCTTGTTTTGGTATATTATTATTTTTTAGGGGATAATATTTAATACAAAAATCAAAATGGAAGGTGGTTAGCATTTTACTCTAAGTGCGAAGTGAAAAAAAATCTTATATTATTAAAATAATAAAAAATATGAATTAAATATAAACAATATTTAATTTAATATCAATAAAATTTAAATTAGATATAAATTTTGTATTAAAATTTACATATTTAATTTTTAAAACCCAATCTTCATTTTCAGAAAGTCTGAGATTTCATGGTAATTCTACATGATTAGAGAGTATATTAAATCCATTTATTAACCCAAAATTCACATAATAAATATAAATTTTGATTTATTATCAATTAATTTTAAATTAGATATAAATTTTAGATTGAATCTCACCTACTGAAATTTCACATGTTGTTAGAGAAATTCTCAAGTTTTAAAAATTTTATGATGTTCGGGAATAAATAAAAAAGTAATTCATTTTATTTGTAAAATTAATTTCAAAAAAACTTTTACATTTGAATTTTTCAACATCTTCGTATTTATATTAGTTGAAGCTGTAACATCAAGTTTGCCCATCCTCTACGAGTTTTATTTTGTCTTTTTTTAAGACATGGAGATAGAGGGACTTAGCCATCTCAAACCGAAATAATTAGTTTAGGTTAATTCTTATTTTTTGTTGCATTTAAAATTTCAATTTATCTTTATATTTTGTTGATCAAAGGTAAATAGCTTGGTCAATATTTTTAGACAAAATAGCACAACTTTAAGAATGGTTACCGTACATATAAGTTACTTTTTTGCTTTAGAAGCTTCAAATTTTTAGCCACACCATGAAACTAAAATGAGAATATTGAGGTTTGGTGGCCATAGAGTAGTTTGATACTTTGATTAAAAATTTTTTAAATTAGAACTTGTACAAAACCTCAAATTGTAGACAAAAACAAAAGTAAATCAGCTTAAAAAAAAAAAAAAACAACGAGAGAGAGACTTTTGAAGGATGTAGAGACACCCTCATCATTTCGAATTGGACATAATTCTTAACTGGCACAACGTACTTGTCCAAAAAAAATTGGTACAATATATTTTTCTCTTTTAGTTTAAAACTAAAAATGAAAATTACCTGGGCCTGGACAGGTAGTAACGGAATCTTGGATTTGATGCTACTTGTAAGAGTCCTTTCAGCCTATAGAGCAGATTACCGACATATTGAAACATATAGATAATGGGCCTTACGGCGAATTGGGCTTTCTTATAAGATCCAAAATGTGAAACTAGTTAAAAAAATTCAAACTTAAGGCCCATCGATTCAAAACAAAGCACTCTCCCCACTGCTCTCCTGACATTGTCCTACGTGTCACTTCAATATTGGCTCATACTTTTTCCAGACCAAAAACATACTTTCTCCTCTGCCAAAGCCAAAATGATACAGTAAGCAGAATGTGTCCTTTGGTTTTCAAGTCAATAAATCATCAAAATTACTGCTTCCCATTTCAGTTGCCGACCGTTACTTCCTTCTCTTCCACCCTTTTCTTTTTTTCGCTTTCTCATTATCACTTCTACCATACGCCACATGCTCTCATTCAGACTACCAATTCCAAAAACAAGACACAACAGTAGAAGAAAAGTGAGTTTTCTCTTTTCAATCAACAGGATCTTTAATTCTTTCTATGTTTTAGAACCTCTTGGCCTCTTAGCAATTCTAATATGGATATTCTCAATTGCAATTTTAAGAAAAAGAATTCTTTTGAATCCAAAATCTGAAAGCACAAACCACCTCTTGTTGTAAAAGTCAACAAAGACAAGAACAATCAGTTAAGTTGGTTTCTTTTACCAGTTTTTGAGGTACTAGTAGACGAAATGGAATCCTTTGCTACTAATGAAAGCTTGTTAATTTGTTTGCGTAATATCTATTTTTCAACATTTATTCAAAGACTGAAATTGAGTTTCTCTTAGCAGTGTTCTTAGCAATTCAGGACATTGCTAAGAGAAAATGGATATAAAAATAACCACAATAGCTATGGATTATATAGGATCAAGCAAACTAGGATTTTTCATATTGGAGCATAGAATACGGCAAAAGGAACACTATCTTTGGTGCTACCTGCTCCTAAACCAAGATTTGGGCTTATAAAGTCTTAGTTTGTCCATATATATTATTTATATTTTTCACTTCCGTTGTCCCTACACTTGGAATTTTCACAAAGTTTGTGAT